AGAGTGGTGGCATGTTTTCCTCTAAAATGGTCCTTGGATTCGCAAGTTTGTGAGTTATACCAGACGTGGACTAGATTGTTTTAACCTCATCACCCAAAGACAACTAGCAATATGGATTATTTGGCTGGACCACTCAATATTGAGGACTATTTTTTCTCCGTTTTCCATCAGCAGTTGTATTTTCATGCCTGAACTGGAGGGATGACAAAGCAAACTACCTAGATTTCTTTTTTTTAAGCTTATCAGCATAATTGTCAGCTATGCTCAAGGATGAACTAGGTTGTTTTGATGAAACTTGAAAAGGCTGTCCTTGTCTTTGTTTTCGTTCTCCAAATCTCCCAACTATTAGAGCATGATTTTAGGTGTTTCGTTCACTAGACTGTTGAGCTGTGGACTGCAGCTGAGAGCTCAGTGTGTGAATGATGCTTGGGATGTGCGTCTGTGTGTGCCTGGCAGAGGAATTTGGTGGAACTGGAGGAGACCACTGGAGGAGAGTGAAGAGTATAAAATGCCAGAAAAATTTTTAGATGTAAAATGGTGTCAGAAACGAGTCCTAGGAGAGTATATGTTGTTGGGGAAGTGGAGAGATTTAGTTGGGGTGAGTTGGAATGGTTTTTTGTTTGGTTGGTTTTTTGTGTTGGGTTTCTTTTACCCTTTGAATATCTAGGAGAATGGGTACATTTACAAATAGCTTATCTTTTTGGTACTGTAGCACTTGCTCCAGCACCCCTCTTTTCCCAGTCCTTGCTCTGGCCAGCATACTTTTAGTTCCCTGTCTCTCCCCTTTCTTCCTTTTCTTTTCCGATGTCAGGGGAGAGGTGCTCTCCACCACAAAGTTTTTTTCTGAAAAGTGTTTGGTTTTGTGGGTACTGGGTTTTGTGTGTTTGTTTTTCTGCCTGTAACCACTGAACAGGGTATGGAGTCCTCCAACAGCATGCAGCCCCCACCTCTGAATAATGGCATTTTGTCACAGAATTTACTGGCAGCATGGTCAGGGGCTTCCTTTCATTCTCCTCCATCTTCGTCATAGAAATGGAACATTTTCTGGTCTGCAGTTTTATTTGTGGCTGATGCTACCTTCTGACTTTAGTGAGTAAACGGGATAACTTTTAAATTAGCGTGAACACTTGGAAGCTGCCTCTTTCATGCTTACAGCGGTATCATTGGCTGTATTGCATGATAGTTTGCAACTTACTGTCAAAAAACATAAATCTGACTTGAAGCAAATTTCGGAAGGCAGCACAAGGGATGTAGTTATGGACATAAACCCAACTACACTGTGGCAAAGCAACTTGGAAGTGGTTTTATTTCCATCTTTCCATCTCTGCATATGTATAGTTAATTGCTTCTGTATACAACACGAGTACAGTATTTAGATGTTAGAGCATCTGGAATACATACAGTATCATCTGATAAATAGGTGGATGCTATATCATAGCACTTGAAATCCTAGTATTCTCAAGAGTTGCGTTATTTATTAGTCTTTTCCATTAAGCTAGAAGGATCTGTCACGTATCTACATCACCGATAGCATGAGTGGGTTTGCATTAGATAGACATTTGGCCCACTGTGGGTGACAATGAGCTACTGTGCTCTGTAGGATACATCTGGTATCATATACCAAAGAGCTCTGCAGTTATTTTCTAAACGCCATCAGTGCTAACAACAAATCTAGAGATGAGAGGTGGAAATCCTTGTTCTGCTGAGGCATTCCTTAGCACAAAGATTTCACTGCCAATTCCTCACTTCCTAATTCAAGAGTCATCTAATAATCTGTTGTTCCAATTTAATGTTTCAAACCTTTATGACTCTGTTAAGAGTTGGATTAGACCACTGAAAGCTTTTTATTCATGCATAGCGGCACATCCACCATTTATACTAGTATACGTTATTGCCATCAGTGCTCTTTTTTAAGAACATCTGGTTTGGATATGTTGAAGTTTACAGACCTGGGCTCTAACCAGTAATGTTCTTTTTTACTACAAGGCAATAATAAATGCCTCTCAGGTTAGAAAGTAATCCAAGGAATGGAATTGTGAATAGTAGACCTTATTTTTTTTTCCTAAAAAAAAAAAAATTGGAGATAATTCTGTCAGGCTATGAGAATTTATCCATCACAGTTCATTAATGCTACCAAACCCTATTTTTAGCTTTTCCATAGAGTTAAGAAATGAACATATCCATCTGGGCTGCAGAAAGAAGAAACTTCCTCTAAATGTGTTTTTGCTTCCAAGGCAAAAAAAATTCTTGTCTCAGTGGGACAAGCAAAGCTTGCCCGTGCTGTTGGCAGCATTTTAAAGGAAAATGTTGCTGATGAAGCTAGAAATCTCTGTGGCTAACTGTAAAACTTTCACTATAAAGTAAAAGGGAGTCTCTCTTGCAAAACTGACCCAAACTAAAAATTTTTTTAAAGTGACCTCTTAAAGAATGAAAAGGTCTTTTCTATACCTTTCTATAGTGAATGCTGCTTGTGCTTACAAAACTATTTTTTTAAGTCAATGCCCTGCTGGCTACAACTTTGTCCCCACTGCATCGAAAAAGGGAACTGGGGGCAGAAGAGAGACAAAGTGGGAATAAGGAAAGAAGAGAAGCTGGAGGAAGTGTTTGAGTCACCTCACGTGAACAAGGATGAAACGTTGCAATCTTTTAGCTTTCAAAAAGCTATTATTTCAAACACTACCTGCTTCATCTCAAAGCTAAGTAGAGCACTCAACAAGATCATAAAAGTAGCTGATGAATAAGAAAAAGGTGATGGGAAATGTGCATCATTCCCCTCCCTCCCCCTCCCCTGTGCTTGCATTTAAACCCCGTGCAGAGGGTTTGTTACTCTGCCAAGGAAAAGCATTGCCCTCGACTTCTCTTCCAAAACAGCTAAAAGGAACGGCTTGCTCAGTGTTACATCCAGGAACACCACATCTTCCTTCTGTGCTGCAGGGTCTTCTGGCTGCTCTGTTCCATCACCGGTCAGTTTGAAAAAGGCTTTATTTATTACCTGTCAAGCAAAACATATGAGTAACTCTGGAGTCATCAGAGCATGATAGTGAAGAGACAAATGAGAGTTTAAGTGAATGATAAAACACATGAAGTAATCAATAACTTAGCTCAGCTGTAAGCAGCACAAGATAAACCCCATGGGTGTTTAAAAAAGAGATTGGAGTGCTTGTTCTGTAATGTGAAAAAGCTCTACAGCTCCTTGTACACTTGGGCTGTATGAAATCCTGGTACCCTTGAAGCCCCTGACAGAACTTCCAAGGTAGAGCACCTTCCAAAAATAAAATCAAATAGAAGTAAAGGCACTCAAATTATACTTCTGGAATATAATTTGCCGCCTTTTTATGAAAGACAGCCCTCTCCTTCAAGCTCTCCCTTCTCCCCCTTGGGATCTGAATGCTATAACCTGTCTTCAGGTGAGGTCGTGTGCTGCCTGCACCTCTGTGTTTGCGATTTCTGGGAGCAGTCCCGAAGTGGTGGAGGTTTATCCTCAGCAGCCCAGTTGCTGCAGCCTCTACTACGCGCTCCGGCTGTGGTGCCTGGAGGTTGAGCTGGAGGTGGTAACGAATGCAGCCTAATTTGTACGTACAGCACCTAGCACGCTCAGGTCTGGAACTTCATCTCTGTTTTGCATGGTGTGTTTGCTGCAATGATGGAATTTGAAGAGTTTAAGGCAAACCTGTTGCTGCTGATAGGTTAATCTAAGGACTATTCACATCGTTCAGTCCCACATAGCTCTGACTGGTTTGTTCTAGGTAAAGTTATACTGCTAAAGAGGCTGAAACTGAGCAGGAGCCATATGTTTTTAAATGCCAGTGATGCGTACCGTACCTTTCCAACTGTTAGATTGGCATCACTTATTTTACTGAGATCTGCCCCCTTCCCCAGCAGCGCAGGCAGTTCCATATCTGCAAGAAGCTCCTGTAGATCGGAACTGCCTTCTATTGTTAACTCCGGCAGCGTTAATTTAATTTCTCTGCAGAGAAAAAAAAAGAGAGAAAGAAGTGAGTGCGTGCTCTCTGCTGCGAAAGCATGGTGTTTGGGCAGTCCTGGGGAACGAGCTGGTGAAAACAGCTGCAAGAAGTGCTCGGTATTTGGGGACATACTGACATGTGGGGACATCAGCCCTACCAAGGGCTGATGGGCATCATGTTACTGTTTCTAAGTGGGAAGTCAGCCTAAATCTGCCCCAGATACAGTATTAAACCCCAGATCATCCCTCTTCATGGGTCCTTGTGTTGTCAGCTATGGAAAAGCAAGGGTTTGCAGGTGTTTTTCTCGGTGCTTGGTGTTAAACCCTCCCTGGCAAGATCGGACCCCGGTCAGTGAGCAGGCAGGCCTGCAGGGTGCACCCTGTCCGGTTGATCCGTACGGAGGGTGCGGATGCCCGAGCCCTACCTTGGGGAGAGCTGCTGAAGCCAGGCCGAGGATTGCAACAGCAGCTTGGACTCCACATTCTCCAGGTCGCTGCCATTGATGGGCTGCAGCAGCACCAGCAGTGCGGTCTTGCTGATGGGGACTTCCACCACGGAAAAAGTCCCACTGGCATCAGTTTTGTACTTGAATGTCCCCGTGACTGACAACATAGGGACCACGACCTTCGTGTCTGAATCCACCCAGAACTCCTGAGGCTCTTTGAGCCGGGAGGCTTGCTTAACGTTCGCTGAAAAACAGATGGAGAAAGAAGAAATTGATTCTTCTCTTCCTCCACTCCTCCCCCTTGCTCCTTAGCCGGTATATATGTTTGTTTAAAAACAACACACTGTGCATTAGACAAGGGCTGGGTGTAGAAAATCATGTTTAGCTACTGAAAACATACGTATCCTGCCTTTAAGGTGCCTTCTGGTAGCACCAGGCAGAGGCTGGTGCAGGCTCACGGCAGAGGGACCGCGACCATCAGGACTGCAGCCAAAGCTGCACTCGGTGCCATGATCTAGTTGACACGGTGGTGTTAGGGCAAGGGTTGGACTCGATGGTCCCGGAGGTCTCTTCCAACCAAACCGATTCTGTGATTGATTCTGTGATTTCTATTTTGGGGCTTTTCCTGGGCACAGTATTTCTGCTTGCTTGGTTGCCTCCTTCCTCGCAGGCTGACATGTGGCTCCCAGTTGGCTCGCGCGGATTGGATCTCCTCTGCGTCCCTTGCGTGGCGGTGATGGCACGTTTGGGAGCACGTCCCTCAGGACCAGCCCTTGCTGCAGGAGCTCTCGGGTGGGCTCGGGAGAGGGAAGGCAGTACAAGCTCGGGCTGAAGTCTCACCCTTGGCGATCTTGTGAATCAAAGCAACGGGGAAGGTAGTAAGCATAACACCGAAGTGTTGATTGAGGCAGGGAAGTTAAAAAGGATGTACCTGAATGCTTGCTAAGCCTTCAGATAAATTTCTTACCCACTTCATAAATATGGGAAGCCTTGTTCTCCCCACCCGCTGCTGCTCTGCAGCTTTGCATTTCAACATGTTATCCGCTCACCGGCACAGGTCAGTGCCGCTGCCCAGTTCGGCAGATAATCCTGTTGGTGTTAAAGAGGCTACTGCCATCAGCGAGAAGGGCAAAGATCAGAAATCTCTAAATTGCTGTTTGGTCGGTTTAGAAGAACGGATATATATGCTGGGGTAAAGAAAGGAACTCCTTACATTAAAGTAATTAATATTGGTGTAAAGTAGGAGCTGATCTAGCTGTACTGTTAACTAGTCCATCTCCAATAAACCTCGATAAATGCTGGGCCCTAACATATTTAATATGTAGTAAATGATTTTGCGTGGGAATATTTGCCTTTTCAAAGAGCTTCCATAAAAAGAGCACGCAGGCTCTTTCACCTATTACAACTTCACCAAAAAGCAGCAGCAGGTAGGAGAGGTGAAAGGTGTAAGTAAAACACAGGATAAGGAAGTAGAGTTGTTCACCTTTTTTTCTTATTTTGAAAGAATAAGGGATGCGAGCAGAAAGGAGCCACTTTCACAGGGACTGTATAACCTGCAGAATTTATTCTCACAGGATTGCCGAAGTCAGGGCTGTAACAGTTAAGTAAACGGAAAAAAAGAATTGAGCGTTCAGATAGCTAAATGTATCGAGGTGGGATAGTAATTGGTTTTAAACAGTCTTGGGAAAGATCCTGCAAAATTTCAAAGTTCTGCTACTGACTTTGGGACTGAGTCCGTTAATATTGTGCCCGTTGCGAACCCTGACAAATCAGCACCCCGGGGTTTGCAACGGCTCCCTGGGGCCTTCTGCCAGGGCAGGGTCTGGACGGCTGTGCCCTCAAAGGTGTAACTAGGTGTGTACTCCCCAAAAGCCCTCTAAAAGATGTTAGTTGTCTTAAGATGACTATTTGTTTCTTACAGCATTTTTTTAGGACAGGGGAGAGATGTATTTACTGAGGAAACCCTGCTTTTTGCCTCAGACACCTGGAATGTAAAATGAGGAGAACTGAAGAAGATGAACATCCCTTCTCTAGAAGGTGATAGCCGACACGTTGGAAGAAATTATTTCTTACGGTGAGATCTCTCATATCAGTACGCAGAAACTGTGGGGCTGCGTGATCTTTCGGCAACCACATCAGAGCAGGGAAGAAACCTGTGTCTACAATACAGGGAAGATACCCAAAGTGAACAAGGCCATCAATCACAGAGCAAAGTCGTAGCCTGGGAGAGTAAAAGAGAACCCTGCAGTACTCTTGGGAGTACAGAAAGGAACCTTGGACCTCTCTACTTCAGGTGATGATCTCCATGTTCTGTAATGCAGACCTTATGCCAGCCTGACAAACTTAATGAGAGGATGACTTTCTGTGGAAAGCTATGACTTTTTCCTTTAAAACAAAAATACGGCAAAAAGCATCCTGCCACATTTCTCCTTAAAATTGAAGTTGTTGAGGGTTGTCTGTTGAAAAGAGAGTTTAAATGGGAGAAGGGAAGGATTCTTAAGGTTGTGCATCCCCACGGTGCTATTTTGATTCACTAGTTTGTAATTATTTTGAAACTTAAGGAAAAAAAAAAAGTTTATCAGTAACATTTGCACCTGATGTTCTGCTCTGGATTCTAAATGGCAGCCCCTGCCTGGCAGCAAGTCTACGAATGTGAAAACAAGTGTGTGCAAGCGAACAACAGGTGAGACCTTTGGAACATTTAGCTGTTGTTTTTGTATGGATTTCTGTCGTTTTATCAATCCCGTGGCTGTTGACAGCATCTCAGGAGCATATAGAATGTGTTTCAGACCAAAAAAAATGTACTTTTTCCTTTCTGCAGCTATAGGGACAGACATGGAACATAACAGCATCAGCTGTCATGGTTGCTCCTCCGCAACCAAATGGCACAGCAAACGCTGAAGTAATCTTCTGTGTTTATTAGAAGACAGTTGCTTATCTAATTCATTTGTTCTTGAGCCAGCGTTCTCCATCCCAAGTGTGGAGGCTGCAACATCTCAAGTGAACCCATCGGAGAGAGAGGAGTTGTAGTAGAGCTGACCCAGTGACTCAGACCCTCAAGTGCATGTTCCTAAGCTAATAAAATTGCAGGTTTCCAATGCAGAAGAAGAGGAAAAAATTGTTCTGCTAAAGGAAAACTCTGCTCTTGTGACCATGCCCAAGTCTGTAACACGAGAATTATTTTTACACTATCGTCTCTATGCTAGACCTTACACTGAAGAGAGAGCTGATGCTCAGAGCTCCTCGAGGAGTTCGGATCAGTTAATGGTAGCACCCATGAAAGGCAAAGAAAAGCCGGTACCCAGTTTACAGGTGGGAAGATGAAGGCACAGAAGCATTTCATGGGCACCAGAGCTCCACTTTTAGCAGCAGAGGCCCGCTGAGGAGCATATTGTTCACTGCAAGCTTTCTGCAATACGGTCGCTGCTGGCGAAGCTGTCCTAAAGCCTGCCATCTCTGGTATGGCGTTCAGTCGCGAGGACGTTGAAAAGCAGCTGCACCCAGAAGAGGAGGCTCAGTTGCGGTACAGGGGGATTTCTGGGACAGCAGCATGGAACGACCTTGGTAATTAAAAGTTTGCCTTAATTCTTCTTGTTTTCTATATGCTCCCAGCTTCCATAACTGGTAGCCTGTTTGGTGGCCTCCAGACTTCTGTGTTTAGTAGCCGCTAGAGGAGTCACGTCCATTATATTTTTAGCCTGTCTTGAATGTGTACCTCCGGCCTATTACCCCCAGCTCCCCTGTGGAAACACAGGTTCTAGGGAAGGGTATTTCTTTGACTTGCTTTAAACCTACCTCCTGATCATTTTTACTGGAGGCCCCTCATGACTTTTAGTTCCTTTGCAGTCAGAAATGCTGCGCAATCCTCTTATTCACCTTCCCACACCTTTCCTAATCCTTAGCTTCCTGGACAAGGAAAATTCCTTGGAGGCCATCTCCCTCCACCTCCTCCCTGTTGCCCATGCTGGCTCATGGCAGCGTGCAGGCAGGTCCCCCAGCACCGCGGTGGGGAACCGGGCACTGGACATGCAGCAGTGGTCCAGCCTTTCATCTGAGCCCTTCCCTCTTGCCGCCGGCCAGGCATGACCTTGCTTCCTTCCCAGCAGCAGGGCCACTGCCCGTCCTCCACCCAACCTACCCCCAAAATGAGCAGCGCTGCCTCATACCTGCCAAGCGGACGTCCACCGCAAAGAGCAGGTCAGCGGATGGGTCGATGTCGGTCAGTAAACACTTGCTTTGGCCCTCGCTTTTGGCCTCCACGAAGGCGTTTATTTGCTTTGCTGCCTCGCTTCGGTTTGTAAAGTCAACAGCTCGGGCGTAGAGAGCATCAGCGGAGGGGAGCAAGTCCTGCACGAAGAGGTGGGATAGAGGTATGCCGGGGGCAGAGAACAGGCAGAGCATCTTGGAAAAGTGCAGCTCCTCGTCCCTGCTCTTGACGAGGCTTTCGATCATCCTCAGGCTGGAAAGGACTTTGTGTCCATCCACCCTGGAGGTGCAGTCAGGATCTCCAGAGGGGGGAACAAATCCCAGCAAACCCTGCAAATCAGCCGCCGTCTGGTTTGAAGCACCCAGGTAGAAAGACACCAAGGAGCCGTAAAGACTGGTTGGGGACAGGAGCACGTTTTGGCCCTGCCGCGCTTTCCGCAGCTTGCTGTAAAACCGCTCACCCAGGACGTACACAAAGTCCTTCAAGTAGCTCAGTTTTTGCCTCCCTTGGCTACTCAGACTCGGGATTTCCAGCCTGTCCTTGTCGTTCAGGTCATCTTCGTAGGCAGGCGTGGTTTGGGACTCGATGGAGACAGGGACAAAAGTTTTCTTTCCCTCCTGGACCAGGCTTTCCATCTCCTCACAGGTACTCTTGTTGAAAGAAAACAAATTGAAAGGGTGGACGTAGACCCGGTCACAAGTCACCGCGGTGAGGCACGCCAACAAACAGAGAAGATCTGCTACCAGGGTCATGTCGAAAAATCGGTGTCTGCTGAAAGAAAAAGTGGGGAGGAAAGAAGACTGATCAGTATGGTGTATATAGTTTGTCTTGCTCGCAGGGTGAGGTGCTAGTGCTGCGTTGGGGTTAGGAAAGCAGGAAT